CCAACCACATATAATGTTCTTTTAAGGAACCAATGAGTAATTTGAATATTTATATTTAACTTTTTCCCAGAACTTTTTATTTGAAAAAAAATTCAAGCTCTCGTAAAAGTTGAAAGAATAGTTCAATACACACAACGAAAGTTTTAAACTTTTGACACTGGTGTATGTCTTCAACCAGAGAAATACAGACTTATTTACGAGGTTTAAAAAGCTAAGAGTTAAAAGAAAAAACCTCGTCAAATACTTCCCCATGTGTTATTAACATAGAGGCTTTTGCTCTCAAATTCTTTCATGCAAAGTTGTTTTTTTTTTTTTTTTTCCTATTCATAGTTTCAGAGATGTATTATCAATTTGGCGATTTTTCTTCCAGGTCCTTTCTATGCATAATTTTATTTTAAATCTAATTGCTAATATGATGGCTATATCCTGGTTCATTCCACTGATGTAACACAGTTTTTGTAAACACCATGGATTTTAATATTGTTGCCACAATCCATCAAATGGATGTACCATAATGTGAGTAACCATTTTCCTATTTCTGAACACAATCGGTTTCCAATTTTCTTCTAGGAAAAGTGATGCAGCAGTGCCTATCTTTAGGAATAAGAAGCAGCGTTGGGCATAAGCATGGTGTTTGCATTTGATGACCTGGTCTGAAATGCTTGCCTTGCTGCTTACTACCTGTGCGTTGGCATTGCTCTGTCACCTCTCTGACATAGTTTACTAACCTGTAAAATGGGAAAAACAATGATCACACCTCAAAGGCCTGGTGTGAACATTCAGTTATAATGCATTAGAAGCACAGAGTAAGCTATTATTGTTATATACAAGGTCTTTACTATATTTACCATAGGTTGCCAAAAATAAAATTACTGGGTCAAAGATAATGATCATCTAAAAAACCTTTTGATTTCTGAAAGAACAGTATCAATTTATACCTACCAACACTTACGTGATAGTTTGATTGTACCACAACTATAAATATTATTTTTGAGTCATTTTATATGTTTAGAATATAATTTTAATAATAGGGGAAAAAAATCATCACATTATTGTTTTAATGTATAAAATTCTGTGGTTACTAATTTTGAACATACTTTCAATTGCCACCATTTTTTTCTTTTATGAATTATCTTTTGACATTTTACTTCTGCTTAGCATTATTCAATTCTATGCCTCATTTATAAAATTTTATTTAATTTTCAAAGAAATATACTATTGCTTCTCTTTGTCTAACATATAACCAAATTCCAAAAACATCATTTGGAAGTACTATAGCTCACAGTTAAAATATGAAGTTACTCAGAGAACACTTACTGTAACCACAGCAGCAATTTTCTTGGCTATAGATGGAGTAATTTGAACGGCATGAGAAAACTGCCAGCCTTCCAGATCAAAGACAGCCTTGACTCCATTCCGTTGAGTTTCTACCTCCCGTACAATAAGTTCTGATGCGATTAGGCTTACACGAAATGCATCATAAGCTGTGTAAACTTTTGGGTCCCAATGTGCTAAAAAAAAAAAGAAAAAGAGAGAGAAATAAAGAATATCATATCTCAGTATTGTCTAAAGAATCAGAAAGTCTTGCAAATGAAAACTAATTATTTTTAGACTTAAAAATGAAAACATGTACAAAGATCGTGATTTGAATATTAGATCAAATTGATGGTCCAATGTACCTGTTTCTCCCTGCTTTTTGTTCTTGGCTGCCTTTGAGGCGACCCCACTGTTACCCAGTAGAACTACCCCATAAGGTTTTCTTGACTATAATTGTTACAGGACTCCTTGGGTGGCACAAATGATTAAGCACTCCACTAATTAACTGTAAATGTTGACGGTTCGAACCCATCCAATGGGGCCTGGCGATCTGCTTCCCAAAGGTCAGCCTTGAAAACCATATGAAGCAGTTCTACTCTGCTTATGTGGATTCACTACTAGTCCAATCGACTCCACAGCAACTAACAACAATCTTTACAGAAGCAAATCGTCAGGCCTTCCTTCTGTGAAGCCGCTGGGGGGTTTCCACAGCCAATTATAAGCCGCTTCCGCCATCCAGGCTCCTCTGTTTCTCCTTACTTTCTCAAATCCCTAGAGAAGGCCATATTTTTGAGAGTGGGGACATAAGAACGGATGCAGGCTGGATTTGATTGCCAGATGAAATGCCAGCCCAGAACATGTAGGAGAGGGCTGCATGCCTCTGAGTATGTTCCAACCTCAGAGATGTTAGAAATGGGAAGAGAGTTTGGATTATGAAGAGCAACTAGGGTCCTAAACTATTCAAAGAAATTGCTGCAGGAAATGCAGGAGAAGACCCACCAGCAGGTAGGACCCTCTGACACCTCCTGAGTGACAATCAGCACATTACAGAGTCATTTGCCTAAGGGCTGGAACAATAGGTGTGCTCTGTGGACAAAGAGTCAGGGAAGCACGCCAGGTGGCTGCCCACACCCAAGAGAAATAGGAAGTACCTGGGCTAGGAAGAGAAGTTACTGACATTCTGGTCCACAGTTCTCATTCCTCCCCCACCATCCCTGGGGCAGGCCATGGCATGCAGAAATGACAGTGTCCAAAGACAGACAAGTAGGTAATCTTTAAAAAAAGATATGCATCCACTAAGAATCACAATATCTAAAAAATAGGAGTGGGCCTGAATTCAATAGACAAACGTATTAACCCCTAAGAAAACAGTTAATAAAGCAAGAGATCTTTTTTAAAAGTATAATGGTTTCATGATACTCATGAAGAGTGCCTCTTAGCTCAAGTAGATACATGAGACTAAATGGGCAGCTCCTGTCCAGAGGTAAGATAAGAAGGCAAAAAGGGACAGGAGCTGGTTGAATGGACACGGGAAATCCGGAGTGGGAAGGGGGAGTGTGCTGTCACATTATAGGGAGAGCAACTAGGGTCAATAACAATGTGTGTATAAATTTTTGTATGAGAAACAAACTTGAACTATAAACTTCCATTTAAAGCACAATTTAAAAAAAGTACAATGGTTTCAGAGAAAAGAAAAAGACATTGCAGGCTATTTTTATAAGAAAGGAATATAATTAAAACTCATCAGTTGAGATCTAATTCAAGCAAAACCTCCGCTGAAGGGTCCAATGACAGGAAAGACACAGCCGCGAGTAAACAATGAGTTGGAAAGTCAAACTGAGGAATTATCTCAGATTCAGCCCTAAAGAGCCAAGAGTTGCTATGTATGAATATAAAGTTAAGAAACATGCAGCTGGTTTCAAATGTTTTAACATCTAAGTAATAAGAGTTCCAGAAGGCAATAATACAGAGAACAGAGAAGAGAGGAGAGAGAAACAAAAATAGCAGAGAAAAAATTTCCTAAGCTGAAAAAGGAGGTAAGCCTTCAGACTGAAGGGCCCACAGAGTACCTAAGAGAATGAGGGTGGGGGGAAGAGTCATAACTAAGTAATGATAAAATTTCTAAACACCAAAATTTCTGCCTTAGACAACTGAGTAGAATGCTACTACCATTTATTGAGATAAGGAAAACTGGAGGAGTTGTGTTTTTGGAGGAAAAGATTATAAATAGTTTTGGACGTGTTCAAATGGTGGCTGGATAGAGCCAACTGGATAGAGCTGGGACAGAGAGCTGCGACATGGGTCCCCAAGGAAAGGGAGGGGGTGAAGATATAAATCTGGGACTTGTTTGTGCATATATGACAATCTAAGATAGGGACTGTCTTAGATCTATGGTTATTTCTGTTATAACAAAGAGATAAAGTAGTAATGACTAAGGTGTGCCTGACCCAAGCCATGGTGTTTTCAATGGCCTCATATGCATGGGAAAGCTGGACAATGAATAAGGAAGACCGAAGAAAAATTGACACCTTTAAATTGTGGTGTTGGCAAAAAATATTGAATATAGGACGGACTGCCAAAAGAATGAACAAATCTGTCTTGGAAGAAGTACAACCAGAATGCTCCTTAGAAGCAAGGATGGCAAGACTACATTTCACATACTTGGGACATGTTGTCAGGAGGGATCAGACCCTCGAGAAGGACATCATATTTGGTAAAGTAGAGGCTCAGCAAAATAAAGGAAGACCCTCAATGAGATGGATTGACACAGTGGCTGCAACAATGGACTCAAACATAACGATGATTGTGAGGATGGCGCAGGACTGGCAGTGTTTCGTTCTGTTGTACATAGGGTCTCTGTGAGTCGGAACTGACTCGATGGTACCTAACAACAACAACAACGAGTAATAGAAGAAGAGGCTGAGGTCAAAATCCTAAGGAACTTCTGAATTTAAAGCATCAACTGAATATGTGTTAGCAAAGGGCACTAAGAAGCAGCCAGTTAAGTAGGAGGACAAAACCAGGAGAACATGGCATCAAAAAAGCCAAGAGGAATGCCTACAACTTAACAAAAAGACAAACAACCCAATCAAAAAGTAAGCAAAGGACTTGAAAAGACATTTCACCAGAGGAGAAATACAAGTGGCCAACAAGCACAGGAAAAAATGCTTAATGCTATTAGTCATTAAAAAAACTCAAACCCATTGCCATCGAGTTGATTCCAACTCACAGCAACCCTGTAGGACACAGTAGAACTGCCCCACAGGGTTTCCAAGGAGCTGATGGTAGATTCAAACTGCCAACCTTTCAGTTAGCAGCCGAGCTCTTAACCACTGTGCCACCAGGGCTCCAATTACTCTTTTGGGAAATGCAAATCAAAACCATAATGAGATAGCACTTCACACCAAGAGGGCTATAATTAAAAAGACTGAAAACAACAGGTATTGGTGAGGAATGGTGAGCAGAAACTGGAAACCTCATCCGTTGCTGGTGGGATAGTAAATGGTACAGTCATTGTGGGAAACAGTTTGGCATTTCCTCAAAAAGTTAAACATAGAATTACCATAGGATCCAGAAAATCCACTTGTAGGTATATACCCAAAAGAACTGAAAGCAGTAACACAAACAGATACTTTACTTGTATACCAATGTTCAGTGCAGCACTATTCACAGTAGCCAAAAGGTGGGAACAGCCTAAATGTCCATCAACAGATGAATGAATAAACAAAATGTGGTATATACATACAATGGAATATTACTCAGACATAAAGAGAAAGTCCTGATACATGCTACAACGTGGATGAATCTTGAAAACATTATGCTGAGTGAAATAAGTCAGTCACAAAAGGACAAATATTGTATGATCCCACTTACATGAAATATCTAGAATAGGCAAGTAGTAGAGACCAAAGTTTATTAGTGGTTAACAGGGGCAGGTGAGAAAAGGAGGAAAAGGGGACTCATTGCTTAGGGGACACTGAGCTTCTGTTAAAGGTGATGGAAAAATTTAGAAACAGATAATGGTGATGGTTGAACAACATGATAAACATAATTAATGTCACTGAACTGTACATATGAAGAATGTTGAAATGGCAAATGTTTTGTTATATATATATATTTACCACAATGTTAAAAAAGAAAAAAAAGGGAAGAGGGTATTTCAAGAAAGAAAAAGTGGTTCACTGTGGTCAACACTTGTTGAGGGGTCAAGTAAGATTGGACTAAACACGTCCATTAGAAAAGAAAGTAACTGATGGTTTGTCATGGTCATTTCGGGGGGCGGGGAGTAAACTAGACCAGGGTGAGTTGAGGAGGAACTGATGGAAAATGTGGATAGTGAATATAATAAACCCAAGAAATCAGGCTGAGAAAGAACGGAGAGGGGAGATGGCTGGCTTGGAGGCTGGAGGGTTTTGAGGGATTGAGGAGGGGTTTCTGTTTTATTTTGGATGGGAGATCCTTCACAGATTTAACTGTTGATGGGTACTATCTAGTAGCAAGGAAAAAGTAACAGATATATAAAGAGAAGAGATAAGCAGAGTGAGAAACAGAGTTTTAATTCTCCTGGAATCCAGATTTCCGGGGCCCTTTTGTACCTTTTGAGGTGATCTTTTGAACCTTGAACCTTGAGCAGACTGGTCTTCTAAAAGCCACCTTTAAGTAGAACAATGGTCTCACTGATTAGTAAAGACCATTTTGCCTTGGGCATTGAGCACTTTTGAAAAATAATCTATATGCGGTCAGTTTTGACAAATAAAAACTCCAGGGTCACACTAGAAGCTGTGCTTTGGCGTAAACTGTTATCATGAAAGCACTGTTCTGACCCCGTTTCCATGGCAATATTGATAAGATCAGGTACCAAGTGTCATTGAAAGTTCTCTCTTCTTCAGAACATTTTTGAGTTCCTAGGGAAAAATCTTAAACAACGCAGGAAGCATCAAAAGAAAATGGAAGAAATACACAGAGTCGCTATACCAAAAAGAACTGGTTGACATTCAACCATTTCAGGAAGTCGCATACGATCAGGAATTAATGGTACTGAAGGAAGAAGTCCAAGCTGCACTTGAAGGCACTGGCGAAAAACAAGGCTCCAGCAACTGATGGAATACTAACTGATATGTTTCAGCAAATGGATGCAGCGCTGAAAGTGCTCACTCGTCTATGCCAAGAAATTTGGAGGACAGCTGCCTGGCCA